AGACGGGTGAAGACAGACAGGTGAAGACAGACAGGTGAAGACAGACGGGTGAAGACAGACAGGTGAAGACAGACCTGTTTCCAGATAAGTAAGGTAAGTTGTTGTGAGCCAGTCGAAGTTCTCTGAGAGCAGACAGACTGGTGGAGAAGTCGATGGGAAGAAACGTCAACTGGTTCCAACTGAGATCCAACTTCTCCACGAAGGACAAAGAGAAAAACGCCTGAAGAAAGAATCATCATGAAAATCATGGAGAGAAACGTCTCTGAAGACGACTGTTGTCAAAACATTAAGTCTCGGACAGATGTCCTGTGTTTTCAGTCCAATGTCTTCAGAGACTTGATCACTTCTCTGTGGACACAGGAACATTTACTCATCATTATTTACACAGATTTCACTGTAAATTAAATTAAATTAAAAATCACTGGATGAAAATAACGATGAGATGAAGATAATCCCTCTCTCCCTCTCTCTCCCCCTTCCTCTCTCCCTCTCTCCCTCTCTCCCTCCCTCCCTCCCTCCCTCCATGTCTACCTGTGGTTGTATGACTTGGATCTGACTGTTGCTCATCACCAGGACTCTCAGCGACCACAGTCCAGTAAAAACCCGAGAGCCGATCTCAGTCAGGTTGTTTCCTCCCAGCTCCAGCAGCCAGGTTCCGTGTGGGAGGCCCCGGGGAACGTGTTCGAATCCACGTGCACGACAGTCCACCAGGTCGGCGTGCTCGTAACAAACGCACGGGGGCGGACAGGAGCGTGAACCCCTGACTGAGTGAAAGGCTGAAAGGAGGAAGAGGAGGGCCGGGAGGAGGAGACGCATATTTCTCTGAGGGCGGCTCGGTCACTGGAGCTGGACGTCGCTCGGTGGTTTGATTCTGCTGTCGTCACTCGAAACTGGAAATTTAAAAAAGCAAAGTTTTGAGTTTCACATTTAACTTATAGTGGATCCAATAAATGTTTAAAGCTGCAGTCATTATTTCTAGATATCACTGGTGACCACTTGGGGGCAGTGGAACAACCTCAATAATAAACATCGACCAGTCAGTGTGAGGAAGAAACACGTAATTACAGAACAGGTCACACACTCCTCCATGTTAGTGGATGAGACTCAAACAAAGCTTTAAGTGTCATCTATGTTCCCCATGTGGTGAATCTAGAATCTCTCAGGAAGCACAAACGTACTTTCTACGATCAAATCTCTACGTTTAATTCTTTTATATATTTTACATTTGCTCTGCCCTCATTCAAATCTAATCACATCATCACAGGTGGAGAAGAAAACAGCTGCTTGATTTTTCCAAGACGACATTTTCTAATAATCATTTCTACTCTAAAAACAGTGGAGAGAAAATAAAGCGTCTGTCAAACAGCTGACTCGCCTCTGCTGTCGACGAGGAATCCAAACATCTCCATCCTGGATCTTCAACTTCGACACGTCCGCTGACTCCACTGCTCCACACAGACAGAGAGAGAGAGAGAGATGATGGAG